CCTTTTATGAGACGCTTACCAGACCGTCTATAAACATTTCTGGTTGGGGACTCGGATTGAATCTGGCTGTGATCGTCGTCCTGACTGCGACGTTAAATAATTCCTGAAGAGATGGCGGCGCTCTTAAAATTCCTCCTGATCAGCCAGATCAACCGGGTGTAAGGCTTGTTCTGTACGAGGGTAAATAAGAGTGGACTGGCTGGCTTGCTCGGTAACGACTTGGGCACAGGGGTGGGCCGACATTGCACACGAAGACACCGCTGCTCAATGATGCTGTTCGGTATGTTGGATTGAGGGGAGGGTAGGTTCTAATTGATGCTCAACTGGAAACACAACCATACCCACTAATCATACATCTGCAACATGGTCTTTTTGTATTCTTGATTAGTTGGTGGACAGACTGCTAACACCTCATAGACAGATTAGAGTAGGACTGTTGTATACTACCATAGCCAGTTCTTTCTAATGCTGCTGTGAGTGAATCAATCAAGATACATCTAGACTATGTTGACAATCTGTTGTGAATGTTGTAGATTGCCATTTGATCGGTCAAGTAGGGGACCTGCCGGACACAACTATTTTTAGAAAATTAGGTGCCGATCAGACACATGCTGTGGTAGGACTCCACTAGGGGGTTTTAGTGCAGATAATGTTTGCCTAATTGATGAACGGGTCAGACATCGATGAGGGAGCAGTTGACGATGCGAGACTGACACGTTCGAGATCACGTAGGATCCCGCACGTGTTTCAGACCCTAAACGTGGAGACGAAGGACGACTTCGTGTCGAATGCAGAGCCCGTGCCCTAGCAGCAGCTAGGGAAACAGTGAATGCCGCAGATAGGGAACAGGCTACAGCAGCAGCCAGGGCAGTAGCCATGTCTTCTGCAGCAGCATCCTCGGTTGCGTCCTCGTCTGGGATCAATGGGACCATGTTGGGAATGCCCACAGGGTCCACGGGTACTTCCAGTTTAGTAGGTTCTCGACAGTCTACAAGTCACATGGCGGGCTCGCAATTCAGCCCGTTGACCCCACGCGAAAGGGAGCTTCTAGAGCTCCAACAGGTTGAAAGGATCCGTGAACGATTAGAGAGGGAACTGAAACAGGCAACCGATAGAGAAAGAGAGATCAAAAATAGAACAGCCAGGCTTGAAACGTTAGAGGCAGACAAAGCTGAGTTAGAGGGTTTGGATGAGTCAGGACTGTCTGACTCAATGAAAACATTGAGGAACAATATGCTGTCGCTGCATGCGCACATGGACAACCGATTGGACTTTATGCAGAACACTCTGTACCTGATCCTGGACATTTTGCAAAGGCCAGGATTTAGGCCACCAGCACAGTCGTCGTTGCCATTAACGACGATGTCAGGCCCCTTTCCCGTACAAGCTGGCACACAACCAAGTGGCACGTCTGCAGCAGCCGCACAGACTGTTGCTTCTTCTTCTTCGGGTCCAGCGGTGGGAGCTACACCACCGCAAAAACCTGTACTTCAGCAAGGACAGCCGCAAGGTCTATGGTACCCTAAGACCCCTATGAAACCGCCTCTCGCCTTCTCAGGCGAGAAGGACGAAGAACTCAACACTTGGTTGAGAACAGTTCCGGTTTGGGTAAAGGCGAAGAGGACTTTGCAGGAGGAGGAGGTGATTACTACTGCATCTTACCTTGAGGGTAAGGCAGCCAAATGGATGGTGTAGTTACAAAGGTCGGGTATGGGAGACGCATGGCGGACTGGGCTAAATCTCTTACGTTAGACCATTTCTTGGAGATGGTAGAAGCTCGTTGGCATAATCCTCAGCAGCCGCAATTGGCCACTGATGCGATAAACAGACTAGACCAACGAAAGTTTAAGTCAGTCAGAGAACTTACGACTACCATTGAAAGCCTAATCGTCGTTCCTGGCATAAACTACGATAACCAGTTCTTATTGACAACGTTTGTGAGATGCCTCCCGGAGAATCTCATAAACTTGCTGGCCAGCGAGGCACGCCTCGAGTATCACTCTTTTGAGACATTGTCTAGAAAAGCCTTAGATTTGGAGGCCACTCTAGGGAATGCTCAACCTACTCAAAATGAGACGACAAAGAAGAAGAGTCCGCAGGAATGGAAGAAGAAGGGGGCTAACTTGAGGATGGTTGAGTCCGATGGGACTCAAATAGAAAATGATGAGCTCACAGACCTGCTGGACGTTTCAGAGTTTGACGGCGAGGAGATCGCTGAGGGTAGCACCCTCGCCGCAGTAGGCTAAGGCGGGTGGCCGAGGGAAGGGCCATCCAAAGAGTCAAGGGAAGGCCGCCTCCAATCAAACTAAAGTGGCTGATTGGGTCAAGGCAGGTCTTGATCAGGACGTGTGGCGGGACCGCCGAGTGCGTGGCGCTTGTATAAACTGTGGTGAATACGGACACACCTAGTACAAGTGCCAGAACGCAAAGGTCACGCAGAAGATACCTCCTAAGATGGGGGCATCTTCTTCCCAGGCTTCTAGCTCGGGAAACACGTGAGGCCGGTGAAAGTTTTAGTTGCTTCTACTCATGGTGAAGTGGGCCCGCTACCCTCCCCACTTCATGAGATGGCCATAGCTAATGACTCTTTAGTCACCCCGCAGACTCATCCAGACAAAACTATGCTCTGTACGTTGGATGTGTCTGAAGCCTTAGAAGATCTGGAAAGCGGGTGGTCAAACAAGGACCCTCGTGAATCTTGGGTGGCACTAAGGAAGGGTCCTAGAGGGGAACATTTCGTGGTGGAAGTTGATGTAGGAGGCCGCAAATGTGGTGCCTTCATAGACATTGGCTCCACGCGGAATTACATAAGTTGCGACTGTTTGGAAAGGCTGCACCTACAGGACCGGGTACAGCACCTTAGTAGACCTGTAGCATCTACTTTGGCCAATAAGGAGCGCATGATAGTCACAGACTATATCAAGGACGTAGTCTGTACCTTCTCCTATGGAGGAGGAGAACTTAATCATAAGATATCGTTCTTGGTTAGCGACGAATTGCCTTTCGACATGTTGTTGGGAATGTACTACCTTGAGGTTGCTAAGCCCCAGTTCGACTAGGACAAGAAGTTGCTTAAGCATAAGTTGCCCGATGGCAGAACAGTCATAAGTTCAAAGCCAGTAGCATTATAGATACCTATGGCTGCTTGTGTGCATCAGCATTCTACAACTATTACAAACAGAACCAAGAGGAGGGTATGTTCCTAGTGTATGTCTCTGAGAAAGGGGAGGCCGTTAAAACACCCCCAGAGATAGAACGCGTCGTTGCTAAGTTCACTGACCTGTTCGAAGAGCCTACAGGAGTTGTAGAAAGGGAAGTTGTCCACGCTATAGAAATCATTCCAGGGAGTAAAACCCCAAAGGGAAGGATCTATAGGATGGCTCCCGCCGAGTTAGATGAACTTCGGCGACAACTGAAAGAGCTGACAGAGAAGGGATGGATCCGGCCTAGTACTTCCCCTTACAGATCTCCAGTACTATTTGTACCAAAGAAGGGGGGTTCATTGAGGATGTGCATTGACTATAGAGGCCTCAATGCCATCACAGTGAAGAACACAGAGCCTCTACCTCGCATAGACAACCTGCAGGGATGCAAGTACTATAGCGAGATAGACTTGAAATCCGGCTATCATCAGATCGCTATAAGACCTGAGGACCAACACAAGACAACTTTTCAGACTCGATATGGTCTGTATGAGTTTGTAGTGATGCCCTTTGGTCTTTGCAATGCGCCAGGAACATTCCAGCACGCTATGAATCGGATCTTCCATGACCATTTAGATAAGTTTGTTGTGGTTTACCTTGACGACATTCTGATCTTTAGTAAGTCTGCCGAGGAGCATGCACAACACATTGAGACTGTACTTTCACTCCTGCGACAACACAAGTATAAGGTCAACCTAGAGAAGTGTGAGTTTGGTCGCACTAAGATATTATACTTGGGTCATGGAGTATCCGCGGAAGGGATTAGGCCGGAAGATGTGAAGGTGGCTAGTATTCGAGACTGGCCACAACCTCAGACTGTCACTGAGGTCAGATCTTTCTTAGGAATGTGCGGCTACTATAGGAACTTCGTAAAGAACTATTCTACAGTCGCCTCTCCTTTGACAGATCTAACTCGACTTGACACGCTGTGGGACTGGAGTGATGAGTGCGAGGGTGCTTTCAAGCTATTGAAGCATGCACTCATGAATCATGAAGTTCTTATGGTTCCCGATCCTCAGAAGCCGTTCATAGTGACCACTGATGCAAGCCAATACGACATTGGCTCAGTGCTGGCTCAGCAGGATGGGAAGAAGTTGAGACCGATTGAGTACATGAGCAAAAAGATGCCATCCAAGAAATTGGCAAAGTCTACCTACGAACGGGAACTCTATGTTCTCTACAAGGCACTTGTCCATTGGAGACACTTTCTGTTGGGACGGTTCTTCTACTTGAGAACTGACCATCAGATCCTCAAATGGATTAAGACTCAATCGGCTCTTTCTGATGCACTCAAGCGCTGGATTGAGGTCATAGATCAATATGACTTCGAGCTGGAGTATCTGAAGGGAGAGTACAACAAGGTTGCAAATGCGCTATCTCGTAGAGCAGACTACCTAGAGGCGCTAGTTTCTGAGTTTGGTGTATCTCAGGAAGTAACTCAATCGTTGGTGGGAGCCTATCAGGAAGACCTTGTCATGATGGACATCATGCGCAAACTTCAGGCAAAAGACAAGGCCACAAAAAGTGAGTTTGTGATGCTGGATGGGTTACTCTTTCTTGATAAGGACGGGTGTAAAAGGTTAGTAGTTCCATCGAGTGAGAGTTTGCGTAGTTTATTTCTAGGAGAATGTCACGACGCAACTGGACACTTCGGCTACAAGAAAACGAGTGTTAATCTAGTACAGCGATTTTGGTGGCCTGGAAGGTTAGATGACGCAAAGAAGTATGTAGAGACTTGTCAGGTCTGTCAGCGGGACAAGCCGCGAACTCAAGCACCGCTTGGGTTGCTGAAGCCCTTACCTATCCCCGCTGGTCCAGGACAGAGTGTCTCCATGGATTTCATGGACACCCTGGTGACCAATAAGAGTGGCAAGAGGCACATTTTCGTCATCATCGATCGATTCACCAAGTACGCTCGACTAGTTGCCATGCCAGAGACCGCCAGGACGGACCACGTCATCAAGTTGTTTATGGACAACTGGGTGCGTGATTTTTTCCAAAGTCAATCGTTAGTGACAGAGATGTCCGATTCACAAGTGAGTTGTGGAAGAAGACTGCTGAGCAGATGGGCAGTCAACTTCAGATGACTTCAGAACAGATGAACAGAGTTGGACAACAAATGAACAGAGTTGGACAACAAATGAACAGAGTTGGACAACACTTGCTGAGGCATTACATCAAGCACAACCAGGATGATTGGGATGAGAAGTTGCCTCTCATCGCCAGCCTGTACAACAATGCTGTACACAGCAGTACCGGCGTCAGTCCTAATCAACTGCACTTGGGATGGAAGCCTAGATCAGCTCTAGACTTCCTCCTACCTGAGAACCGATCCTCTGCAACTCCAGACACACTTGAGTATGGTGTGCAGTATGAGAAGTTGCTGCAGCAAGCTGTCGAGCACATCAAGAAAGCTCAGCAAGCAATG